AGCCGCTTAGGTTGGCAGGCCAGATGGGCTCTTGGAAGCATGCTGCACGCGTTCCCGGGGATCCATCACCATGGCCAGTGCCGGACCCATATAACCCCGGGATCTCCCTCGAGATCCCGGGGTTTTCGTTGGGATTTCCCCTCTGTTAAAAAAAAACCTTTCATTAATTTTCAACGCATTGGAAATGTAAATTTTGAAACAAAATTGTTTATTTAACTTTTATATTTACCCTAATCCTATGGTATCCAATTAATATCTTAAGAGTTTGTCGCGTCGCGCAAGATACATTTCTGTCACATTGTATACTTCGATTCTACTCGTATATGATTATAACTGATAGTTACACGTATCAATAGATGGTAGATCGCGCTCTGAAAATTGTTGCGTGTTCTGCAAACCATCGAAAAAAAAGTGTTGCAACCTCAGTGTCCGCGACTGTACATCGAAAGGCTTCAATGTTCCGGATGGCGATACTCTTGTTGGCGCGTTTGTCACCAGCCACGAACTCACCATTAAAAATAGTGTTTATTTTTATAGAGTCATATCACTCTGCATGATACACTGTACACGCCCGAGCACAATTTCACTCGCGTCTTCGAGAAATCGCCGAGGCTCGATGTGATTGGAGTTTATTACCGCGCCCGTCAGAATAAGGCTTTCGAACACCTTTTCGATCTCGCGCCATCGAAGTCCATATCCTGCGCCAACATGGACGAATCGTCCACGCACCGAATCCTTCAAGCCTTCAAGCCGCGCGGTACATGCGATCACTGATTACCTAGTACAATCGATAATCGCGGGCGTTTGATACGGCTCTGCTCCTCCAGAAATTCTATAAATTCATCGCAACGTTATTCCCACGCGACATACTCTTCACATGTATTAAGTTGGGTAGCTTGCTCATTCAAATCATGCTCCACGTTGTCACTTGTGCTGTTAGATTGACTAATGACGCGATGTGTCTAAATCTTGTCATTTTTATATCATTATGTGCGCTATTTTTATTAATGATATTATACATCTCATGCTCTTGAAAAAAATCTTAAATTACGCTAACAAAGCAGCTATACTTTGACGAATCTGCAAATGTTGCATTTTTTTGCAGGTGTTGTATCAAATTACATTGATGATGTCACTGCAAAACATGTTGTAACATGTTGAATATCCTTGAAAAAATTTCTTAAATTACGTTGACAAAGCAGTTATATATTTGCAAATGTTATATTTTTGTGCTGTGTCAGATTACATTGATGTCATCACCGGATGCGTTCTTCTTCATTACAGCGCGTCTTCTCGTACAATTTTGAGAAGAATATTCGCATTGACACCGACAGCGTACAAGTTTCTAGAGATTGGGATCGCTGTAGGACCTATTTCCTACGTGGAAATTACCATTGGCAACACCCGAGGCAACCGCATCGTCCTACCTCAAGTTATGTGGAGTGCATTTGTCAAAAAATGGGCGGAAATCGAGCAATTGATGAAGTCGTCTACTCCATCATCATTAGTGATTCAGGGGCTTCAAATAGAACTTGTCAAAATACATGATGTGGACAACGTGAAATTATCTTTGTGTAATAAGTGTTTATACATGAAACCGCGTTAACTATACTTTTCATGCTCGAACTCGAGCAATGTGTAGAACACGTATATTGTGAACTATGCCAATACACAAACGGTGTGAGCGAAAAGTTTAAATATTTCGTGACTTATTTACGCCAAAACAGCATAAATAACAAGTATGATGTGATAAGTATTTTGCGTAAGATTTACGATAAAAATTCATATATTGAATGAGAATTGATAGTGTACGCTGTAGATAATATTGTATATAATGCCTTACATGAAAAATAAATGTATATATAAATTGTATATCCCAAAGTTTGCAATTAATTGTTCCTTCCTTCTATTCCTTATCTCTACGGTATCACGTTACGCACGAGTGTGCCATCGCGCTCGACGGTATCGTCTCTTACTAATAGTTCGATTCGCGCTATTAAATTGATTAATTGCGAGACAATAGGAAGGCTATGGGGATTCTAACTCAGGAGCAACGAGGGGGGTGAGGGGCGGGGGGTACCCA